CCCGGGCCGGGGGGATGTCTCGGCGGACGCGCGGGTGAGCGGAGCCGGGCGGCCCAGGGCTTTCCCCCCATCCCCCTCCACTCCGACCCCTGCCCCCACCCCACCCCTACCCTCGCCGTGGCCCCTCCGGTCAGGGCGGGCCTTCCGCGGGAACTGCTGTGTCCCGGGTCGCCCGAGGCAGGGGGCGCGCGCGAAGCTGGGGGGGCTCTTGGGGGCCCCTCGCTCCGCTCCCCAGGCCTGCTGGGCCTCGGAGCCGGGGCGGGCGGGTCTCCTGGGACCTGGGCCAAGCCCTGCATGATGTCATTTTGTCTCCCGCCTAATTGCGGGGTGGGGGTGGGATGGCAGTGTCAGCTGCTAGGGCCTTTACCGGGGAGGGAGGCGACCCCTGGAGAGGGAAAGTGATTCTCCCTCCAAGTCGCAGCGAGAGGGAAGCCAAAGCCTGAAGGACTTTTAGTTCAAACCTATTTGGGTTCATATTTGGCGGTGGGCATTTCTTCCCAAACATTCCGGGAAGTACAGCGCTCCCCAAACCCTCTCCGGCTTGAGAAGGGTGCCGGGGGGGAGGGGACTCGTTTGTGTGTCCCCCCCTACCCTCAACCTGGGTGCCGGGCCCCAGCTTGGTTTAGTTTCAGAGACATGTCTTCCTGTTCCACATGAGGAATTTGGGGCAGTTGGGGTTGAAGGTGAGGGGAAGAGAGACAGATGCGTATCAAGACTGCTCTGGGGCCAAGGCAGGAACTGCAGTCTCCATTTTACTTATTCTTCCAGAGAATAAGGGGCAGAGTGGAGCCTGGAACCTGGTCTGTGGGTTCCAGGTCCCTGTCTTACACCTCTGTGCCTGGGGCCTGACCTCTGGGTTTTACATCAGAGGACAAAGGGGGCCTGCCTGCCCTGTTCCCTCCCTGGATTTGTGCAGCTTAGATAACCTTAACCCCCCTTCCCTTGGTGTCCCCCCTTCTCAGGAAGAGGGTATAGACTCCAGACGCACTCACGGCTGGCTTTTCCCAGAGTTGCTCTCAGCAAGGAAGCCTCTGGTCCTTGGACCCTGTTTAGGGTACCTGGAACAGGTTCTGTCTTCCTCCTCAGGTCACCATTTCCCAGGGCAGCTCCAGTTCCCAGAAGGAGTTTTCTGGTCAGGCACTTAATGGACCCTGTTCTCATTTTTGGTGCAGGAAATGTTATTCCAGGGAATGACAAGCCCCAGAAAACCCCCAGGTCCTCTGCCTCTTTGCTCCTGGGGCTCTGTGGAGGAATCCCCTCCCATGTGAGGGATGGTTTCTGTGCGCTGGCACCCCACAGCCCTCAGCTCAGTGGTTGGCCACTCGTTTTAACTCTCATCTGCACCAGTGCCCCACTTCCCGCTCAGCTTCTGACTCACCCATCCTGGAGCAGAGCCCAGAACATCGAAAGGCATAGAAAGGGTGTGTTGGACCTACATGTGGTTGCCACCACCGACTTGGCCTCTGCTTTTTCAGCGGGGATTACAGGGTGAGGGCTTGAAGGTGCAGGTCTGGAGCCTGGCTTTGTGGACTTGGTAAGTGGCATAGCCCCTGTCCGCCTCAGTGTCCACGTCTATTAAACGTGGTTAATGGGAATGCGTGTGAAGTAGATGGTTAGCTCCATGTTGATGATAGAAGTATATTTTGTATACTGGGTATCTC